ACATTATTCATGTATCGAAATGACTATAGGCCCAAAATCTAGGATTATGATTAACCAAAACTTGCAATAATACAAGCATATGAAAAACACTAAGTAGACTTGCCTCATTCTGAAGCTACTGAGGTGTGGCTTCAAGGACCCCTCCCTGTACAGGCCTGTGACAGCTGGGGCTGTGTGCGCAGTGCTTGTGTCTAGGAAATTACTAGCGATCTCAGAAGGAAGGGACTTGCCTATTCAAGACAGCAGGAATGTGCTGTGATTTTTCTCACTGAAAACATTCACTTTTGTACCCAACCTTGCATTCTTTTCTTAGATCTAAAGTCTAAGTTTCAGGCCTCATGAAACCTAGCTCTGCAGATGGGCTCACGTAACCCCTCTCACCAAGGTCTGCAGGACACACTGTAGGATCTCCTCTCAGCCTACCTGGCCCCCTTCCCAGAGAGGATGCTGGTGTGTGACTTTCCAGAAACAGTGAATCTGATAAGTATATATAGATATTTCTCCTCCCCTTCTAGTTATTAGTTTTATTTTGAAATAATTTTAAACTTACAGAAAAATTGTAAGTACAAAGTACAGAGAACTACTTCCCCTGAACCACGGAGAGTGACTTCCCAAAATGTGTGCAAAGTGACAATCTATGAAGTTAATCTTTACACTGTCTCTGACAGGGTGCTGCTGACAGAGCCTCTCCTGTGTTGTGTTTGCGGCTGCCCTCCTGAGGCCCTCCCCAAGGCTACCAAGCTTTTAGAACAAGTCATTTAGGTGAAAGGAAAACTGTTTAGGTGAAAGGAAAAGTGGACAGGGAAGAACTCCCTGGTCTTTTTCTACACTACTGGTAACACACTACATTCTCTATCCTAGACCTTATACTCTTGATAAATGTTAATGTAGCACCCTGTTATATGTAAAATGTATGGTGCCACATTAATAAGGAGCAATCTAGTATATTGCTTTAACAATTCAGTCTCTTACCATTGGGTATGTTTTGCCAATCTTTTGCAATTCCAAATAAGGACTGTATGAATAACATAGTTACTGAGACTGTAGAACAAGCCTATTCCTTGTCACTTTATACACACATCAGTATACTTGTTGGATAAAATCTGGGAAGTAGATCAAAGGGCATATGATCTTAATTTTGGCAAATAGCTCTTTATGAACAATGTGTAAGAAAACTTTTAACCAGCTCTTTGCATGACAGGGAGTTAAGAAATTCTGGGCATTTGTGGATTAAAAAATCAAAGTCAAAACCCCCTCTCCTACAACCCAAACCAACCAAAATGAGAAAATAACAGCTTCTTACTTGTTGCCTCTGTGTATAGGGTCTTCTCATCAACACTTTGAACACTACAGGAAAAGAACAATTTCCTTCCTTCAACTTTATCAAGTTGGCTATTGATCACAACAACAGAACAAAGAGGGATAGGTCTACAAAAGAAAAAAAAATCTCATCAGATTCATGTAACATTGAAAGTTGACCAAGCATATAAGAAGGGTGCAATCTGATACCTGGTATCAGTGGGAGTCCCTTACGGGGCTGGCACCAGCCGCTACGTACCCCTTACTCCTCACTATTCTCAGAAGCTGTTCCATCAGAAGGCCCTTTGCAAAGTCTGAAGAAAGCTGAAATCATGTAAACTAATGCAAACAGGACCAGGCAGGTCTTTAGCTGCCCTCATTTTCTCCGTCATAATCTAAATTTCTTAACCAATCCCCTCTAGATTAACTGTCAGCAGAAAAATACCTAACAAAAACTGCTGATAACAACTTAACATGCTAAGCCAGGGCTATCCAACAGAACTTTCTGTGACGGTAGACATGTCTGATCTCCCCGCTGTCCAATAGTCGTCGCAGGTGCCTATTGAGCACTCAAATGTGACTGATGCAGGTGAAAAGATGAATCTTTAAATCTATTTAATTTTAATTAAGTTATAGTTAAATGTAAATAGTTACATTTGTTTTGTGGCACATAGAAATCCTAGCAACAGCCTGTCGTAATGAAAAAGATCTCTCTTTAAAAGTGAAACTAGTTGGAAGACATGGGATGTGTTTTGTGTTCTTCTACTACCACCGTGTGGAGGCAGGAACAACTCCAGGTGCAGCGGGAGTTTTCTCTGTGATTCCCCTCTGCCCAGTTTTTGCTCCTAATAGCTTTATTTGTCCCTTTTTTTAAAAGATGCATTTATTTATGCATACAAGAATTGGAGTATAGGCCAGAGGTGCAGTGGGTAGAGAAGATGCACCAGAGACAGAGTGGGGAGCAGAACAGCAGATCTACTGAAATATACTGCTGAGAGGAGCAATAGACAGGACAGGAGAGGTCTGCCGCACTATGTGGATCACTCCCCGATTGGGAACAGAACTTGTGTTGCAGTGGCTTCAGAGAGCTTCATAGTGCTGTGTTTTAACCCACTGTGGCACCAGGGAGGCCCCTACTTGACCCTTTTAATGGAACTACCAAGCTTTGCTTTTATAAACATTTCTACATATCATCCTTTATGTCATGTTATCTGATCATCATGCAGTCTTAAGTTCCTGAAGGTTTCAATCTGTTGTTCATTGTTTCCATTGATTTTTACTTCTGGTCATTTTTTTTTTTTTTTATGTTTTGAAGATCTATTTGTTCTGAAGGAAAAAATGTCCTCCAGAACTCCTTGTCTGTCTTGTTGCATAAAATCTGATTTAAATTCCCAACCAATATGCCAGGAATGGGTTACAGAAATCCTGAGAAATGAATCTTTTCAGCTAGTAACCACTAATCAATCATTAGATGCTTTGTCTATTTATTTTAATGTGCTAGTAAGCACAAGAAAATAAACCAAGTGTGACACTTGGATCCAAGGGCTGAAGATTATCTGAGATGATTAAGGAGCAATCTTGCTTTTTAGAAGTAGTACAAGACACCTGCTGATCAACTGATACTATAAATTATCTTCAATTAAAATTCTAGAGGTTGATACCTCTAGAATCTTGAAGGGACATCAATTGATTGGATTAAATTTCAGTTTTAACCCTGTTTTCCCTCTATTCAAATGATTTCATTTAGAACTTGTCTTTAATAGATTTTCTAATTGTGGGTAACACATGAACAGCAATGTAAATGATTCATGTGAATGGCTTGTTAGAGGGGACAGGACAAAGCACAGGACCCAGCAGGCAGCAAGACACAAAATACATGCTGAGCTAAATTATAATCTAAAAACTTCAGTGATCTTGTTTTGAAGTGAACCATTACTTATTATTATTATTTTTTTTTGAGAAGGGAGGGTTGTATTGCATTCTTTTGTCCAATGAATATTCTTGAAAGAACATTACAGAGTCATATTCTTTCTACTGGGAGATGAACTTTTGCTAATTAAATGAGATCAATTTCATTGTAGGTAAGCAGTAAACCAAGGCAGAAAATGTACTGACTAAAACACAATGGGCCTGGATAGTAAATAATGTGAAGGAAATACGGGTGTAAGGGAAGATTTAGGCTTGGAAATTCCGTCAGGCCCAGTAAGGACTTTTAAGGTGGCCGCATCTCATGAACTCAGGGTTGGGCTCTAATCACTTTGAACGGCAAAATCCAGTCTCATCGATTATCTCCAGGTTTATTGCCCAGAATCTAAAATTTTTGTTGATCTAGAGATAGTTTCTTGAGGTCTGACATAATTACTGCAAGCCAAGGGAGGCTACAAGACTGAGTATTTTACCTTCAGTAAAATGTATACAGTGACATCCTGAAGAAATTAATCCAACCCAGAATGAAAAAGTTGATAGGTTAAGAGTAGGTGAAAAATAAATGTTATAAGTCACTGAAATAATCTTGTGTTTGAGATATTTAAAAGAAACTCTAACACCAGGATTGTTACTTTATTTAGTGACATATTTAATGAAATTATGGATTATGTTTTTAGTTAAGGTTTCAATATTTAAAATAATTTGCGCTATCGCCCATGGTTGTGTCAGCTGCTGGCCCTTAATTTATTTGAGGTGCTAATCACACCAGTTAAGGGACCACTTCCCTAACGTCTCTGTCACTACTGAGATTAAGTGATGAGCTGTGTAGCAGCATAAGGATGCTTCCTGAATTTCCTTGCTCAGTGCTGCTGCTCAGGGCATGAGCTGGCTTTGGCAGCCACTCAAGGCTGAAGGAGAGCTAGAAAGAGCCCGCAGCCCCGAACCAGGGAACAGCCAACCAGCCTGGGATGACTTTGCCTTTAGATGTGTTTTACACAACACATTTCACCTTGTTGAAGCCCTTTTATTTTGAAGTAACTGCTATTGGCAGCAGGGGAGGGAGCAATTGAAGCAGCTGGCTGTCAGTTCATTCAGTGTGAGTGTGCCTGTGTGCGCACGCATGTGTGCTAGGGAGCAATAAAAAACACTCCCAGGGAAAAGAAAAGAAGGCAAAAGCCCTTGTCTAATTCCTTCCAACCAGGCCTCCATATAAATAGACCAAGAGTTGGCAAACTGTGCCTTATGATAACCTGCCTGATTTTGTAAATAAGTTATACTGGAAAAATAGTGATACCCACTTCTTTACATATTGTGCATGGCTGCTTTTGTACAATGGCAGAGTTGAATACACTGTATGGCCTGTAAAGTATAAAATGTTTATGGAAAAACTTTGGCCCATCCATTTGGTGGGGTGAGAATGCTTTTCTAAGGAATAGCCTCCTGGCTGAGGGTTAAAGTAAATCACAACAGCAACAATAAAACAACACACACATACACAAAACCGAAAACCAAACGAACCCATCATCCATGAAGTATGGCTCCCCAGTGGCGGCTGAATAAGCCATGAGACTCTGGGGGTACAAAATGGAAAAGTTCCCTAACTTAAATGCTTCACTGTGTGAAGTAATAACTCACAAAACCTCATTTGAAAATCTCATCTATTGAGCTTTCTGATCTTAAAGTCTATTTTGCCCTGTTGCTTTTCCTCCATTCCAAAGCCAGTATACACACCATTTTACTGATTGAACAGGTGTAGCTGCATGATTGCAGAATTAAGTAAAATCAAGCCAGGCTTTGTGTTTGATGGGTATCAGCCCTTCTATTTCTCTGTATGTATGAAGTTAAACATGTTTTGTTATGTAGTAGATCTGCTCTACTCAGATCCCCTTTGATCTTTTTTTATACCTTTAGTTTTGGTTTTCTCTGTAGTTGCTTTGCTCAGAGGCAGAGTGCCTGGGAATTTCTAGTCCCCAGGGCAGGATTATCCCACAACTGATGTGCGTGAGCTATGAAGATTGCAGCCCTTAGCTGTGGGAGGGACAGTCTAAGGCTTGCTTTTCACTCCAGAGTTCCTTGCATGATCATACCATTTGCAGGACTTTGAGAAACCACACTTGAATGGCTTCTTCCCTTGCCCTTTCTGCTTCTCCCACTCACCTTGTATTATCTATATTATATGATAAGCACACTTTGATTTTGCCCTTCCATTTTCTGTGTTTGCACTAAGAGCTAGGACTAGTTAGTATTATTTCTCTTTTGAATTTGTAGAACTCAGTGTAAAATGAAAATTCAGAGACCCTTGTTCAAAAAATACTAGGCATTTCAAGAGCATGACAGCAAATTATTGAGCCAAGTGTAGGTGGGGGCCTTCTAAGCATCTGGGTGACCTTGCTAGAAGATTTTAGGTTCTGGGGCTTATCACTGTGCCCCCTGGACATTATGGGAGTACTTCCTTGATAAACACTCACACCTGAGACTTATCTTGGTATATGCTGCTGGGGACCCTAGTCTATCCCTCCTAAGAAGTAGAGAATATCCACAAATTTACCTTTTATAATTGATGTTAAGGTTGGCGGTCATGACAATTCCTCCAGCAATAATTGCAGACATACCAACAGTAGTATCAATCATGGTGGCAGTGGCACCTCCATGAAGAAATCTAGTCATAAAAGGAAGGAAAGAGAAAGTTTTCCACCAAGTTCTGAAAGCACAGAGCCTCTCAAAAGAGAGAGAAAAATTACCCAAGTATTACCATATAATTAGAGGGACATATGAAAAGTCCATTTAGTCCAAGTTTAATGTACTGAATGTCAAATTATATCCATGTTCCTAACATAATTTTGTTCATGATTTAACAGAGCAGGATTTGTAATAAAACCAAAATTTAGTGTTAATCAGATCACAAAAAAGCAAGCAGCTAAAATATAATTGAAAAAAATTACACTATGCTTTAACTGTAACAGCCTTGTTTAAAAATTTAGGAAATGCAGTGCTCTCTGGTGGCACAATGGGTTAAAGCACTGCATTATGAAGCTCTCCAAAGCCACTGCAGCATGAGTTCTATCCCCGGCCAGGGAGCTGACCCACATAGTGTGGCAGACCTCTCCTGACCTGCCCATTGCTCCCCTCAGCAGTGTACTTTATCAGTATGCCTGTTCTGCTCCCTACTCTGTCTCTGGTGAATCCTTTCATCTACCACACCTCTGGCCTGTACCGCAGTTCTATAAGCATAAATACATAAATCTTTTTTAAAAAAAAATTTAGGAAATGTAAAAAATAGAAGAAAAGTTAAGATTTGTAATTTCACCATCTTGTGATAAATCATGGTTGATATGTTAAAGAGACACTTTAAATTACTCTTTTGGCCTATGCTCCATGTATATATTAAGTTATGAAATCTTTCTAAATCAATAAATGTAATACCAGTTGTGATGCCTTTATTATATTCTAAGGGCATGGGGGTATTATAAGATACCAGTCTTCTAGATCCACGTTTCTTAACTATGGTTCTTACCCCGGTGCTCCTTGCAGGTAAGGACCTCCTTGAAACAAGCAAACTATCCTTTTCTCAACATCATTATAGAACATCGCATATTCAAAGCCCAGGCCCTCCTCATAGCTTCTGGTGAAGAGCCGGGCCTCGGAGTTTTGTTCTTCTTTTAGGTTCAAATCTGTAGAAAAATGAGGTGTGTGGGCTTGTGAAAAAAGACCAAGACAGAGTTAGACACCTTTTCCTGCTGGAATCACAATTCAATGATAATCAAAACATCAGTCAGGAACCCCCTCCTGGCAATGGCACAAAAGGTTAACATGTAGCACTTTGAAGTGATCGCAGCCTTTATAGCAATAGTTCGATTCCCCGCCAGCCAGGGAGGTGACCCATGTAGCATGGCGGACCTCTCCTGACCTGCCCGCAACTGCCCTCAGCAGTGTATTTCAGTAGATTTACTTTTCCTGCTCCCCATTCCGTCTCTGGTGAAGCCTCTCGCCACCCCTGAGCCTCTGGCCTGTACCCCAGTTCTGTATGCATCAATAAATCTTAAAAAAAGTAACATCAATCAGGCATATCTTTGAAGGAAATCAGAGGGGTCCTCCAAAACAGAAAATAGGATCTTTGCATTTGTGTATTAACAGGGTAATACCATCTAGAGAAGATGGATAAATTCTTAGAATGACACAATCACCCAAAGCTGAACAAAAAAACAGAAAAATGAAACCAATTACAAGCAGTGAAATTGAAACAGTAATCAAAACCCTCCCAAATACAAAAGTTCAGGACCAGATGGTTTCACAAATAAATTCTATCAAACATTTGAAGCTGGCCATCCTACAAAAACTTCTAAAAAATTTAGAAAAAAAGAAAAAATCAAATACACTTTACAAGGCTAACATTACACTAACACCAAAACCAAAGACAACACAAAGAAAAAAAACTAAAGTGTCCTTAATGGACACAGATGCAAAAATCCTCAATCTTAGCAAACCAAATTCAACAAACCATCAAAAAGATTATATATCACAACCAAGTGGGATTTATTCCAGTGACACAAGGATGTTTCAACATCCAAAAATCAATTATGTAATTCACCACATCAACAAAAAGAAAAATAAAACCATATAATCACATTAAAAGGTGCTGAGAAAGCATGTGATAAAGCCCAATATCCATTTATGATGAAAGCCCTTGAAAAACTCAGGATAAAAGGGACATACCTTAAGATAGTAAAAGCCATATATGACAAACCCACAGCCAATATCATTCTTTTTTTTTTTTTTTTTAAAGATTTTATTTGTGCATACAGAACTGGGGTACAGGCCAGAGGCTCAGGGGCGGTGAGAGGCTTTACCAGAGACAGAGTGGGGAACAGAACAGGCAGGTACACTGCTGAGGGGAGCAGCGGGCGGGTCAGGAGAGGTCTGCATTGCCACGTGGTCACCTCCGGGGCAGGCGGGAATCGAACTCATGCAGAAGCGGCTTTAGATTCTCAGTGCTGTGCTTTAACCCGCTGCGCCACCAGGGAGGGCCCACAATGTCATTCTTAATGGTGAAATGCTGAAAGTAAACTTCTCATTAAGATTTGGAACAAGATAAGGAGGTCTGCTCTCACACTGCTCTTCAATATGTACTAAGAGTCCTAGGTAGGGCAATTAGGGAAGAGAAAGACATAAAAGGAATTCAAATAGGGAATGAAGTGAAACTATCATTATATGCAGATATATACTATAGACAGAGATTCCTTAAAAAATTCACAGAAAAACTAATTAATGCAATAGACCAGTTTAGTAAAGTAGCAGGTTACAGAATCAATATTTAAAAAATCTGTATTTTTTTAATGCCTTCCTATATGCAAACACACAATCTCAAGAGTAAGAAATTAAGAAAACCACCCCATTTGCAACTGACCAGAAAAAAAAAATTGGGGAATAAACCTAACAAAGGAGGTAAGAAAACCTACACCACTGTTAGAAGATACAAAGAATGGAAAGGTATTTCATGCTCATGGATTGGAAGAAGTAATGAAAAATCACAATCACAAAACTTGTCTGTAAGGAGGGGTGACTTTCTCCAGCCATGCTTAGCTCTGTGAGGACTGTACAGACAAGGATGGCAGGCTGCTATATTCACCCAGGGCTGGGGTTTCCCAGTTAAATGTGCTAGAGTTCAGGCAGGAGAGGGTTTAGGGACAATGAGGATGCAGGGGCCCATCAACTGAAGGTCTCGATGAGGTTTCTATGGGGTCGGAAGGAAAGCTGGAAGGAAAGAAGGTGGGAAAAAAGGACGTGGATTTGGAGGTCATGCACTTTCTGCAGATAATAAGGCCCAACTTGTACCTGGGCTTGCAAGGCTGGGGCTGGGTGACAGAAATTTTATAGGTGATGAGAAAGCAAATGTACTCAGGAGCCATGATATGTGAGAGTAGCTGTTCCTACCAAGAAAAAAGTCTCTGAAATCTTGAAACCTGAGTGATGCATTATAAGATAAAGGTTTCCAGGAGCCGTCTTCACATTTCTTCATGAACTGGTCAAAGAGGAATCTTATTTCCTTGCTCCAGCTGGGGTTAGGGAGAGAGGAGTCCTTAGAAGTGACTTTTCCAGAAGAAAACGATTTCTAAAAGAGAAAAAGAGGATAAATGGGACTTGTGTCCTATTGCACAACAATATTCTCCTATTTTCTGACCATCTTGCTGTTTTTCTTCTTCCCAGAAGTTTATCATTTCAAAGTTGATATACTGGAAATGAAGTTTGACTGGGTGGGTTCAAGAGAGAACAGAAATCAAGAAATATAGTCATGGCATGTTTGTAGGCTAATGAGAAAGATCTAGCAGAAAGGATGTCCTAAAAGAGGTCAAGGTGATGGAATACAGTGTGCAAATAGAAGTCTTGTTCTCTTCTAAGAATATGGCCACTACAGTCACAATGGGAACAAGGAACCTGAGCACAGATGCAGGGAGGAAGGTAAATGAGACAGTAGGCACAAAGACATTCTCTTCTGATTGCTTTATTTTCTCTTAATGAAACAGGAGGCAACATCAGCTGAGAGTGAGGCTTGAGAAGTTAGAAAATAGCCACACAAGTGGGAGTGTGGACAGAAGAGAGGAAAAAGCCTTAAAGGTCTATTTAAAGTAATTAAAAAAAATCCATTGCAGGGCCCTCCCTGGTGGCGCAGCGGGTTAAAGCACAGCACTAAGAGGCTGGAGCCACTTCCGCATGAGTTCGGTTCCCGCCTGCCCCAGAGGTGACCACATGGCGTGGCAGACCTCTCCTGACCCGCCTGCTGCTCCCCTCCGCAGTGTACTTCGTTGATCTGCCTGTTCTGCTCCCCACTCTGTCTCTGGTGAATCCTCTCACCCTCCGCATCTCTGGTCTGTGCCCCAGTTCTATATAAATAAATAAATCTTTAAAAAAAAAGTCCATTGCAATCCCCACACTACTACCTAAAAATGTGTTTAGAAGAGTAAGAGTTAATGAGTAAATTAGGAAATATCTGTCTAAGCCCATGAAGTCAGGGGCCCCAAGTGTCTCTCAGGTCTATCTCATGAATAGCACAGAAGCTCAACAAAAAGTTGTTGAATGCATTACTGAGTGCTGCAAATAAGAAACCAAAACAGTCTTTACCAACTGATTCTTAAAAATGAAGAATGTACTCATATATTAGTTCTTCAACTACTTAGTCACACATGTGCATCAGAGGGAAGTTCAAGTGAAGGATATGGTGTGTTAGTTGACAGCTCAGTCAACAGTGTCACACAGCAACTTATTCTAAGGTCTTATTCTGCATGAGTTTCAAGTGTACTAAGGAAGCATACAGCAAAAATTCAGAGAAACTTGAACATGTTCTGAGAAAAGCTACTGGGGTGTGAAGGAGGCTGACAACAGAGAAGGCTGGCCCGTGATGAGAACTGGCAGGTCCACAGGAGTGAGAAACGTAAATAAAATTCCCACACCCACTCTATCCTAATCACATGAATGATGACACATGATACATGGAAGAACTCAACAACTGGGTGAAAGTCACAAGAGAGATTTTCGCTCAGTATAGTAGACAGAAGAAATCACTAGCATTCAGAGCTGGTCAAAATGGAAAAGCCATGCCTTAAACTTATGATACTTGTAAGTAAGGAAAAAACTATTCGGAGTGATGCCCAAATTCTCACTAGTGTGAGAATGTTTGAGCCAGTAAAAGTTTGCCCCTAAGGAGACCTCCCCACTTTGCAGGACATCTGGGAGTTATGACCTGCCCATTGCCCTTATGCCTAAAGTGGGGGGTGGGGGGTGGAGAGGGAGAGGAGGATATGACAAAACAAACAAACAAAAGAAAACCAAATGGAAGCACCCTCTTTGTCCCAAGACCCCACCAGTGGAAGGATTCAGATGAAGTCCAGATGGCTGGTTGTAAGGGTGATGTAGAAAGCAAGAGAAGACCGAGAAAATTAGACTATAGTAGTCTAATTTTTTAGACTAGTTTTTGGTAGTGCACATTTTTTCCACTATGAAACAAATGTGGGTACCCACCCTCCTCTCTTCTATAGCAGTGACTTCTGAAGGAGAGGGTGAGCTTCTGAGTTCCATGAGGGTGGGCACCTTATTTGTCTTCTTCCTTGCTGTACAGTCTGTCACACAATGTGCTCCAGACATATTTGTGTAAGAAAGCCAGTGACTCTCAAGGGAGAAAGTAGGAAGTAGTAACTATATTAGACAGACCCCGCCCTATGTGATCCTGATCATCCCCTTGAATTCCCGCACTATATGGAAGTCCCAATTTTCAGACTCTGTTAATCTATTTATATGGATTTTTTTTCTAATGAATATATTTCAATACTACCCACATTTTAAATGCAGTGGTTCCTAACATTTTTAGAATCCCATTAAAGCCACTGATATCTATCTAAAAAAACTGACTTTCCTTGAGGAGGGGAGACCATTATTTTCCAAGTGCTTACCTGAAAGAATGGCATACTTCTTGCATTCTCATAATAGCAGGACTGCAAGTTTTGATTTTTGTTTTAAATGCAAAAGTCTAATTTAAAAGCCTAACTTGTATTATAATAGCGTCTTCTAAAATGGTAGATAGGGTCCTCCCTGATGGTGCAACAGGTTGAAGCACAGCACTATGAAGCTGTCTGCAGCCACTGCTGCAGAGTTTTATCCCCGGCCAGGAGGGTGACACACATGGCGCAGCAGACCTCTCCTGCCTTGCTCCTTAGCAGTGCATTTCAGTGGATCCGCCTGTTCTGCTCCCCACTCTGTGACTAGTGAATCCTCTCATCTTCTGCACCTCTGGTCAGTATCCCCAGTTCTTGTGTGCATAATAATAAATAAATCTTTTAAATAAATAATCTTTTAAAAAATGGTAGATAAAGGTGGCCATTACTGTCTCCATTTAAAGGGAGGTAAAACCGAAGATGAGTTCAGTAAGACTGTTGTGGAGATGATAGAAGAGCAGAAGATAAACCAGCTTAAAGAATTTTCAATTTTTTAACAATTTTAGTCAATTGTTAGTATCATCACAGAAACCACTGGTCCCCAAATTCCAGGACCAATGGCATCCAAATACAGGTTCTCATATCCTATACCAAAGGGTCCAGATGTTTTGGGTCCAGCTCAGAAACAGTGAACAACCAAAAGTTTAACTCTTCAGTTATTACAAAACTGAGGCCAACCCAGCTTCTCGACTGTGAAAGCTCTTGAGAAACCTAAAGAGCAGGGATTAAAGGCAGCAGTATGTGCCACCACAAAATATGACTCTTAGGCACAGGATCATTTTGAGAAACAGCAGGTACAGGAGCTCAGAGAATAGGGTAGAGGTTCCTCTTATGTTGGGGAATTTATGTTTGTACTTTTGCAAGAGTGTTTCTCAGTAACAGGAAGAGAAGGGAGACTCAGGAAACTTACTGACTGAAGAAAATCACCTAGGCCCTCCCCGCTGTCCCCACTACTTTTTTGTCTTTAGCTTAGGCCACTGGGGGGTGAGGAGTTATGCACTTTCCCCTGAGTATCTCCCATGGGGTATGTATATTCATAACTTGTTTTTTTTTTTTTTTTAAAGAAGGTAACGGGCAGGAAAGTAGGCTGTTCACAGTTTCTCCCAATTCTTGTATCACTAACCTGGAACTACATTTTCCTCCTTTAAGGTGCATTTATTTCTTCCATCGCTTTTATCACCATTTGTTTTTAGTACAACACTATCATCACCTAACATACTTTTTGTTAATAGTTCCTCTAGTGGTTCTAATGGCTCCATTTCGCCACTAGCGTCAGCTCATGAGGACCCAGATTTTAGGAAATGAAAAGCAGGCAGAGATCCCCATGGGTGATCCCTCCCTTCCTTCTCTCTCCTTTTCCTGCTGTTCTTCCTACACGCGTGTGTAAAGCACTTACTATGTAGCAGGTACTGCTTTGAGCATTGGAAATACAGTAAGGAAAAAAAAACATAAAAACATCTGCCCTCCTGGAGCAGACACTCTAGTGGTGAGGGAAAAGATTAAATAAGCACAAAGATGGTGACAATGTTGCAGAAAAAAGAAATGCACCTTAATATATGCATATTATTAAATGAAAGAAAACAAACTGCAAAGGCCACATTACTGCACACCATCTGGAAAAGGCACTCTATGAAACAAGACTGGTAGCTGCTCAGGACAGGCAAGAAGGCAGGCGTGCAGGTGGAGCACAGGGTGGTGACTGTGAGGGAGAGCATCTATGCTAAGCTGCACCTCTTCTCGGGAATGTGAGACGGAAATGCCATTGTCACAGAACTGGGCCCAGGTGTCCTTCGTGGAGAGGAGAGGAGACGGGTGCAAGAATGTGGGGTTCATGAGGAGACCAGAACTTCTGTGTATGACCCTCATGATTCTGGCCTGAACTCATGAAGTGCCAATCTGCCCAGATAAAAGGTAATTCCTCCCTGAAACATTCTCCCTTCTCCATTGTTTGTCAGGCAATAAAATTCTTGGTGTGTTAAGCTGAAACTGGTTTCTGAATTTTTGGCTTTCAATCACCAATTAAAAGGATCATCACCTTAAGGGGTGTTTGCTAACAATATGATACTATAATAATAGATGCAAGTCCAAGTGAAGCTTAATGTAAATGACACACTTTAGTTTTTAATAATGTAATTAACACTGGTTCATCAATTATAAACAAATGTACTATACTAATGTAAGCTATTAACAGGAGATGGCACAGAAACTTGTAAAGGGTATTTGGAACCCTACTTTGCACTCTTCTGTAAACCTGAAACTGCTCAAGAAGATACAACAAAATGCACATAACCAGAATGTGTATGTGTGGTAGGTGTGGTGGACTACCTTGGAAGTTTGGAGTCTGAGAGATGGGGGTTGGGAGTGGCCCAAGTGTTCTAACTTTCTTAGGGTAATGGTGTCATATATTGGGATAAATGGGGGCAGGCTTAGGACAGAGAGAAGATGATGTTATGGGAGAACAGAGGCTTTCTGAGTCTCTGTCTTCACTCCTGCTAGTGGTGGTAGGATCTAAGGGGTGGGGGAGGCAGGCTTGTTCTTGGTCACAGCTTTATGCTCTCCCACAATCTACAACATGTATACAGACTATGGCCAACAAAACTGGAGATTATATCAAACTGCTGCCCTATCTGCTTTCCTTTTTAAGTGGTAACTAGTGCATTAATCCGTTCTTAGTTTCCTATTGATATTTAAACAGTCTTTATGGGAAAGTAGCTGTTCCTACCAGGGCACCTGTTTTTCAGGTCTTGACTCCTGTGAGAAGATTTAGAAGTATAAAAAGGCAAATATTCCCAGGAACCATCTTCACATTTCTTCATGAACTGGTCAAAGAGAAGTCTTAAATCCTTGCTCCAGCTCGGGTTGGGGAGAGAACGGTCCTTAAGAGTGACTTTCTCAGTAGAAAACGACTTCTAAAAGATACAGAGGAGAAAAAGAAGAGTAATAGAAGGCATGTCCTATTGCATCCCATATTCTCCTGTTTTCTGATCATGCTACTTTTCTTCTTCCCAGAAGCTTGTTATTTCAGAGAGGAAGCAAATATCAAGAATCACTGGTCCAACCTCCTTAGGAGAAATGGAGACTGAAAGAGGGTATGATTACACCCTTGCTGTCACCCAACTATTGGTGGAGTAGGCATTAAAAGCAGATCTTGCAGATACCCTTCCTTTTTCAAATCTTAAACAAGCACAAGTGAGTCAGGCATTGGAGATAAAGGGGATGAAGGACAGACATGTTCCTCCGTGTAAACAAAGTGCTGTCACTGGGAAGCCAGAGCATAAGGGAGAGAGGTATTCACCTCAGACTAGTGATTCAAGGAGGAGTTCTTTTTTCAAAAAGATTTTTATTTATTGATGTTTACAGAACTGGGATACAGGCCAGAGGTGTAGGGGCAGTGAGAGGATTCCCCAGAGACAGAGTGGGGAGCAGAACAGGCGGATCTATTGAAATACACTACTAAGGGGAGCAGTGGCAGAGTCAGGCAAGGTCTGCTATGCCATGTGGCTCACCCTGCTGCAGATTGCTTCACAGTGCTGTGCTTTAACCTGTTGCACCACCAGGGTGGGCCCTCAAGGAGCAGTTCTTTGACTGCAATTTTGATTAGACAAGCATAAAGTAGCCAGCTAAAAAGAGTATTATAGGCAAAGGATTACTAAGTGCAAAAGCAAGGATGTATGAAACAGTTTTGAGGAACTAATTACTATCCTCATTTTATGGATGATGAAACTAAGGCCTAAAAGAAATTTGTCATTATTTTGGTGCAAGAAGAGCAGATGGCTGCACAGAGGCAGTCAAGGGTGTGACTATGAGAAGTCTCCACACTAAACTAACTGCTGAATTGTATCTACAGAGCTCTCAGAGGGACTTTAAACAGAGGTGTGCTATCAGATCTGGCCATGACATGAAAAGATACTGGGAGTAATCAAGATTGGAATCAGAGAGCCATGTTTAGAGGCTACTTGGGATAACTCAGGTGAAAAATTATGAGCATATAAGCAGAACTTGTGATTATCTGGTTAAGGAGACCAAAAGGAGAGGAGAGTAAGGAAAGAGATTATTTGGTTAAGGAGAGTAAGGAAAGAGCCAATCCTAGGTTTCTGAATGGTGCACAAGAAAGGATGACAGAGCCAAATGTCCAGAAAGAGAACATAAAGCACAAGGGCCTTCCTGGTGGCTTTGGGGTTATGTCTCAGTGCTTTTACTGCTGTGGTCTGAGTTCTATCTCCTCCAAGGGCGCTGATCCACACGGTGTAGCAGCCTGTTCTGTCTCACCCGCTGCTCCCCTCAGCAGTATATTTAGTAGATCTGCCTGTTCTGCTCCCCACTGTCTCTGGTGCATCCTCTCACCCCCTGCATTTCTGGCCTACCTCTCAGTTCTTCTATGCAAAAAACAAACAAACAAACAAACAAACAAACAAGCAAGCAAATAGAAGAGAATGAGGTTGGAGGAACAAGTGCTTCATGTCATAGTAACGATGGCTGTACCTGTGCTTTTTTCTGTAGCACTGAATACTGCTTCTTCTCCAGTACCGGAAGCCAAGTGGCATTATACCCAGGCCATGGAGGACTTGGGGGACAAAATGTGACCTACTAAGGAGCAGGGCAAAGTGAATGCCCACAGCACCAGAAAGGGAAATCCACTCTTTTGACTTCCATGGCAATCTTCAGACATTAAGATCATACTAGCCACCTAATCAATTCATTAGGATTCAGTGTACCTACAACACTTGGACAGTACCCCAAAGTCAAAATAAGGGAGGCTGTTTACTGTGATGAAAGAACAAGCCAACCGGTCTTGCTGACATGTAAGCTGGCTTATCTTAGCCTGATGGCAAGAATATGGAGAGACTGGCTCAAGAACTCGAGGGAACTAATAATGTCCTGCCCAAACAAAAGGGGGTCCTGACTTTGTGAGGGGAAACATGAGCAGGACAAAGATCACTCTCCTCCCTCACCTTGGATTTGTACCTCTGTTTTTTCCCTATGGTTTTCGATTGGCTCATTCCTTCAGAACCCAGTTCAAAAACTTGGGGGAAGAAAAGAAAAACAATCTTAAAGATGCAACTATTATCTCTCTTGTTTACAACCAAAGGAAAAAATTCTGATGTATTTTCTTCAAGTTTTTTAAAATGCAACTTTACTTAATAAACTGTAAATTAGTAACAAATATAAATTTTTACTATAAAACTTATTACATTAATAATACTTAGCGGGTATGGCAGACCTCTCCTGCCCTGCCCGCTGCTCTCCTCAGCAGTGTATTTCAGTACATCTGCCTGTTCTGCTCCCCACTCTGTCTCTGGTGCATCCTCTCACCCCCCACACCTCTGGCCTGTACCCCACGTCTTGTATGCATAAATAAATAAATCTTAAAAAAAAGAATATTTAGCGTTCACTTTCTCATGTCCTTAGTCTCAGTTACACTAATTTCAGTAGCAGAAAAATAGTTCTTTAAAATGATGTACTATAACTTAGATCATTTAAGTTTGATATTAAAATTATTTCCAAACTTCTGCTTTCAATGAAAATATCCACTAAAATGCTAGAAAAAAAGCCTTTTTTCCTATTTTGAATCTTTTCCTTAGAATCCAATCCTTTTAAATGCACATGCATTCTGAAAGTAACTTCACAAACACAATTAGTCACAAATTAATATGTACTGACTAATACATGTCAGTTGAGAGGAAGAATAGGATGTGTTGGCTAAGAGTTGTGAATCTGGGCTCATCTCATCCACAGGTCTCACGTTTATTTTATTTATTTGTTTCTAAAGATTTATTTACTTATACAAGAACTGGGATATAGGCCAGAGGTGTGGAGGGTAAGAAGATTCACCAGAGACAGAGTAAGGAGCAGAACAGGCAGACTGACTGAAACACAGTGCTGAGAGGAGCAGCGGGCGTGTCAGGAGAGGTCTGCTGGGCCATGTGGGTCAGCTCCCTGACCAGGGATAGAACTTATGCTGTAATGGCTTCGGATATCTTCATAGTGCTGCAGTTTAACCTGCTGTGCCACCAGGGAGAGCCCAGGTCTCATGCTTAATTAAGCAGCTCTAAGTCTGATCAGGTCCATCAATTTTTTATGGATCAGTACAATAGACAATAAAAGCCTTTTAAGTATTAGAATGACTCCTGGGATTGCTGACTCTCCTACTTCATTTTAACTTTGCAAGTCTGGGGTTAACATACAGATGGCTAATGGGCACATGAAAGAATGCTTATTGTCACTTATTAGGGAAGCACAAATCAAAATCACGATGGTATACCTCTTTCCTATGAGCATGGCCTCAATCAAAAGGACAGTTAAGAAAAAGAAACCCTCATACATTGTTGGTGGAAAGGTCCAGCTCCTCTAGAAAATAGTATGGATGTTTCTCAAAATATTAAAACATAGGTCTACCATATGATCTAGCAATTTCACTCCTTGGCATCTATCCGAAGAATTGGAAAACACTAACTGAAAGCAATACAGGCACTCCTGTGTTCACTGCAGCCCTATTTACAATTACAAGCAATTGCAACAACCTAAGTGCCTAGTAACAGATGACTGGATTAAGAATATGTGTTATATACATAATAGAATACTATTTAGCTATAAGAATAAATGAAGTCTTGCTATTTGTGAAAAGATAGATGGAACAAGAGAGGATTTTGTTAAGCAATAGTAAAGTAAAACAGAAGGAGAAAGACATGTATCAGATGATTTTACTCATGTGGAATATAAAACAAAACAAAAACAAACCCTTGAAATTTCACTGCACAGCTGAGGTTACCAGAATTGCAGAGGGAGGTGAGGTTGAGGAACAGGTAGAAGGGATCCAGTGGAATGCTGTGGAGGACTATGGGTGCTTAGCTGGTGGGCATGGCAAGATAGTGTACCAATTAGGAACTGTGAAACTATATTCCTAAATTATATATACTCTTGTAAGTCAATGTTACCTCAATTAAAAATGAGGTAATTAAAAAAAAAATCTGAGATTTAAATGCAACACACTTTTTCCTGTCTTCATATGCTGTGAATCTGTGCCAGGAATAGTTTAGACAGAGAAAGAGAACTTAGTCCTATCTTGTAGTGCCTGCAGCCTGCAGTGTGGAAATGCTAATTGGATACTGGAGCGACTTCTAAAGAACACTTCAAAAAGATGAGGACTGGTAGAATGATCTCTTTGGGATGAGTTCACTAAGGAGAGGAGGGTAAGACTGTTTCATGTGAGGGCACAGAGAGATGAATGGCACATAAGGTATGTTGGAGAACTGCTAGGATTTCAGTCCTCATGGATGTAAGGTGCAAAGGACATAGCAGCAAGATGTGGATGGCAAAGTAGAAAGGGGATGAGAATCACACGAGAGGCTTTGACCTTCACACAAGGTTCTTTTAGGTCAATGTTTCCAGGGTCAATAAAAAAGATGATTAAGGATATAGGGACCCAGGAATGTAGAGAGTGACTGAGGGGGTAGAGAAAGTCTTGTCCAGTCTGAAGACTGGAATGGATAGAAGAAAAAGAAAGTTTTTTTTTTTTTTCCTTAGTGTTCCTGTGCATGTCAGGAGGCAGAGAGAAGGAGTGGAATTATACTGAATGAAGACTTGATGTTTGAGAAATACAAATAATTAAAGTTTCAGTACAAGGAGGTGAAAACTAAGAGATACTTTAAGTAAAGGTGTTTTACATACATGGCATAGACTCTGAGGGATAAACACTATGGATGATCATTACTTTTTACTGCCCTGATTAGAGAAAAGGTCTTGCTTGATCTTTGGTTACAGCCTTGTCATATGGGATTTATTAAATAAAGTTATAAATTTATGTGTCTCCTTTTAAAGATTAAGTTACTGAATAGGAAGAAGCATGGTGTATAAAGCTTCTAAACACTACTATTAAATATCCTCAACACAGATCACAAGGCACCAACATATAATTAAAGTAACAAAATTCTCTTTGTTGTGAGATTAGCATAGACCCTCTTCTTTTCAAGTGCCAAGTGATACAGGATTTATAACCAATCTGCACTCATTAGTGTTTAAATGAAAGCAACAACAGCCTTCAGTTCTTGCTCACTACATCTGTTCCCACTTCCATATCCTCTCAGCACATTATTACAGCAGATAGGGTATTATGTTCTTTAATTAAAAATTTATTTTCTTACATCATTCTTCATTTTTATATAACATTTGGTTTCTCCCCTCACATGTAGTTCCCTTACTTCTCCCACCACCATGGCTTCTGTGACTCTAGGTTGCTATAAATTTAAATGAGATAACTCAAGTAAAGTTAGTCTTTGATTAAGAAATTTCACCCTTTCTCCCAAACTAGGTAGTGAACTCCTTAAGAGAAAGGACTGCTTCTTACTCATCAGAGACCTGTATCTGGCATACTGTTGGTGCTTAACATTCATTGAATATATCCATAAAGCAAAACAGGCAATATTTACTTAATACTAACTCCAGGCATCGGTGCTAAACGCTTTACTTGAATTATCACATTTAAATTTATAGCAATCCAGGGTCACGGTGGCTATGGTGGTGGAAGAACTAAGGCAACTACATCAGAGGGGAGAAACCCAATTTAAAAATTATAGCAACCTTAGGGTCAGCACACTGGTTAGAGAGGGTACAAAGAATCTGAGGCGCAGAGAACAATCAGGGCTGAACCCGTGAATGCGCCAGCGCTCTTCCAGGGGTGGGAGTGTGTGAAGCCATGCTTGGCCCGACTGCCTAGGCGGAGATCCCAACGGCACCGTGTGACCTTGTGTAAATCGCATCCTTTCCGCCCTAACATCTGCACAGGTGGTGCTCCCTCAACCTGCCGGCCAGAGTCAGGCACCTCACGTTGCCGTCACCCCCCCACCCCAGCCCCATTCCACAGGGTTCGACCCTCAGGACAAAAAGAGCGGGTGACCCAGTGCACACCGCTGCCCTTGACAGGAACGCTAGCTTTTATTCTGAGACCAGACCTCCGCTATGTAGGCGTGCCCCGACGCGCTCTGGCTCCCGGCCCGGCCCGCCCCGCCACGCGGACTCACCCGCGCGGGCCGAGGGTCCCCTGCCAGCGGGGGCGCGGTCCCCGGCAGGCCGCGTAGGGCTCCGAGAACGCGCAGGCGCGCGGCGTAGCTCAGCATCACCGCTCCAAAGGCCGCCGGCGACAGCCTGGGCTCTGACACCAGCCGGGCGCCCACAGCGGCGCGGCGCCCAATCGGCCTTATTAACGCCGGGCCCGGGGGCGGGGCCTCCGGGGCGGGGCCTGGGCGTGAGGGCCGGGCGGGGCTGCCTTTCCGGAAGACCTTCCGCCTCCGCGGGCGCCCGGGGCCACTTCCGGGACAGCCCCAGCCCTAGCCCGGGCGGGCTTCCCCGGTGACGGTGCCGGCCTCCGCGCTGCGGGGCGGGTCTGCTTGCTTCCCGTCGGCCTCTCCCCGCCGTAGTCGGTGCCCGTTGTGCCCAAATAGTTCTCCCTCCCGCAGAAGACAAACAGCCTAACGGCTGTAGAGGCGCTGGCCACGAAGGCTAGCATGGTAGCAATAAGATGTTGAAGGCTCTGACAAGTTACTGGCGCTTGTTACTAGCGACACGTCGTGTCTGTGGTATTGATTCAGAGAGCATTCTGGGTGCAAAGGACGTTTATGCCATTAACTGCTTAAACTGCTCTTTCTCCTCCTCCCTCCCACCCCCATCACCCTTCATCCTTCTCCCGCCCCCCCCAAACCCCCACTTTCTGGCTCCTGTTAGAGCTACAAGTCCGAAGCTTTTGTCTTCCAGATAGAAGTAGAAATTGGAGGAACACTGGAAGGGTGAGCGTCCATCTCTAACTTTGGGGACAGACTTGAGCTCTGAGTGCCTCCCATCACCTGGAACGGACTTTTCAGTTGCTTTTGTTTCTTGATCTTGTGGGAACTACAATGAGGCTTTACCATTGTAAAACCAGGGCCTTCTCTTTGACTGAGAGTTTCGAAGTTTCAAGTTGCCTTGAACTCCTCTTAACAAAAAAGTGCCGCGGATTAGCTGTGTAATGTGTGAGACTGGCTTTACAGGATGCTGGGAGCAGATTGTTAAAATTTCAGGGGGTTGACAAGTCAATTCTTTAGTATGGCCATTGTCAAAATTTACATTATGTAAACTTAAAGTATGTTAAATAGTAAAAAGTAGCATCTTGATGATTTTACTATTATCTGTGCTCTAGGTTATTTTGCCTGTATTGTATTTGCATGATGATAATCGGTACATACTTTCTCAAATTCCAAGTTCAGTCACTTAATGGTAGGTAACTTGAAATTCACTGAGTGGGAATGTTCATGCAGACACTGTAAATGAGGGCCTTTCCCCCTCTTTGTTAAATATTTGTCAATATTAAACCATAGGCCTAGAATTGGGTGATGTGGTATCTAAAGACAGTAAAAGTTGTTACAGTGATGAGTTACTAGAATTGCTTGTTAGGGTCACATTACACAATGTTTTTCTGCTAACACAATTCTGTAGCCACTCACATAGTTAAAGGTGGGACTGGAGGGACCATTAACAGAAGAGATTAATCAGAAATAAATAAACTTAGATTTGGGCTTGGCTCTAAATTAGTACACCATCCCTTTTCCCCCTGCCTTTTTGTTGTTGTTGTTGTTGGTAAGTAGTTAGTGTTTGTGAAACTCCCAGAAATTGAATGTCTTCTGCGTTCCCTTTTATTACATAAATTTCTTCATCAGCTTGTCAGTAGGAGACAAGGCCCTTCACAATAATAACTGGGACAAAGGCATAGATGGCATCCTGATAAAGGGAGTTTGAGAGATGAGGCATATAGGGGACTCATAGAATCCTAGAGTGAACTGAAGGTGATAAGGCATAAAATGTGGTTCAGATATTCTGTCTTCTTAACAGGGGTTGCCCAGAAAAAGGGGAGATTCCAGGTTCCCTGCCCCACCCAAAGGAGGGTGGGGCTGAGCAGGGAGGAGGAGAAGCTGAAGAGGAGACTGTAGAAAGAATCGGGATGTAGAGCCAGAAGGAAGACACATGGAACAGAGGGAGGCACATGGACCAGAGAGACAGGTGAAGAACGGCACTTGCCTTTTGGTCCAGGACTGAACGCAACAGAGGTGGGTGAGACCTGTGGGGAGGTTAACTATGGCAAAATCTTGATTTTGATTTTGCTCTTTTCCTCCCCCCCTGTACCTCCTTAGTGGGACAGGGAACCTGGAAACTCCCCTTTTCCTGGGTACCACACTGTTACATTCTCAGGTTCTTCCCCAGCTCCTAACACACAACCTTTATTCAGTTATCTTCAATACAGTGTTCCATTTTCCCGAGGGCATGGATAGTACCAGGAGGTCTTATCAATCACAGTATTTTCTGTGCTAACACACAATGCTTCAATATTTGTTTAGCAGCAAGGGATCTAAGTACCTTGTTATCTATTTTCTTACAGGTGGTACATGCAGATGGAAACACACATACATAATAATTCCATGAAATTGAGTTGATTTCTGTTAATAAATATGAAAAGTCTATATAGATATCTTAAAATTGTATGTACTTACAATTTGCGATGTAGTCAGCCAATTGTTGGGACATAGGAAATCATTATGTACCTCTCTGGGATAGACTGATAAAAGAAAAAAGTAAAGTAGTTTTGTGTAATAAATAACAAAACAAATACAATACTGAGTAACTGCTACCTAGTTTCAGATGCAATCTCAAAATAACCTAGCTAAGATAAGGAGGGTAGGCTGGAAAAAAAGGAGCAGATTCCCTAAGTTTACCAAAGAAGGCACAGGAACCAGAGGTTTTTTTTTAATTTCAGTTTTGCTTTCTCCATTGCAAAGAGATAAGGAGACTGTGTCTTCCTGGGACAAAACCTTACAGAAGGATGTTTCCTTATAAATGTCTTTTTCAAAAGCAACCTCCACCCAGCCTTCAGGGCTACAGGTTTTGCTTCCTTGCACAATCAAAACCCATAAGTAGGCTCCAGAACTGCAATATAAATACACCAATAACTCACTTGTCAATCTCTCAAAACATCTTACGCCTAGGACAAGTCTAGGTCAATTACACTCAGTATATACTAACTTTTACATTTTTCAAGTACTTGCAGTGATTTGGTTCAGTCACCCACACTCTGATCTGATTTCCTTACCAGGCATTTTTCTGAAGTATTTATGTTGATAGTGTTTAAAAAAAGAAAGAAAGAAAAAACAATAGGCCCACAAATGTAGTTGTTCATACTGGGCCCCCACCTTGACTTAACACCTAATCTCATTGCACTTTCAACCTCTCCCAAAAAATCAATCCCTAAACCAATCAATCTGGAGTTTCCGGTCTGCACTAGTAGGCCATCTGCATGATAAGGTAGCTCTTGGCTGAGGTGTCCAGGTTGCTGGCAGCCTGTGAACAGGTTGAGGTCCCAAATGCCTGGGGTCCTAGAGGCCCTGGGTGAGTCTGAGGTGGCAGGACACCAGCAATGGCAATAGCCACACATTGGGCCCTTTTCTTTCCTTCTCCCTTTCTTTTTTTTCCAGCTGACTGGTCTCCCTATCATTTAGGCCTTCAAGGTCATGTCTAGTCTCTGGAGCTAATGAAATAAACTATTGGAACAGCTTGATCTACCATGTGAACAAGTCATTGAAGCATATAAAATTTCTTTTCCTCTCATCCCTCTCTCAGACCTTTAACACTTTCTTACTTTTTTTTTACCATTGCATTTTAACCATTTTACATTAAATTACTTTCAGGACCTTCAAAATATCCATTCCCAATACATTTTTTCCTTTTAAAACACACACCTCACTTTACTTACATTCAAGTTATTACCTCCTCCATTTTTAATAAGACATTGTAAAAGCTGTTATACTATCATCTCTTTGGACTAGATGACTTAGCCATAAACACATGCTTTCAAAAGAAAACAATTTTCTTTTTTACAATAAGGAGCAAAAAAGTAAACCTGAAAGTTTCAATTGTAGCTTTAGTTTCTTTTAGGACTAGAATTCCAAATTGCAGGGTTATTAATGGAATAATTACATGCACCAGACTGGTGAGTAATCATTAGACAGATTGATAACAGTATGAAAAATCAGAGAGACAACTTAATACCATGTACATTTTTCATATACATGTGATTCAGTATGATTGAGTAACTTGTCCACTTGGCCTTAGATGCCAGCTTGAATTTTTTCTAGGACCATGGGAAAGGAAGGAGGTTAGATATTTAGGAAAGACAAAAGTTTTTTTTTTTTTTAAAGATTTATTTATATATACAGAACTAGGGTATAGCCAGAGGTACAGGGGCGGTGAGAGGATTCACCAGAGAGAGTAAGGAGCAGAACAGGCAAATGGAGGAAGTACACTGCTGAGGGGAGCAGTGGGCGAGTCAGGGGAGGTCTGCGGTGCCATGTGGATCACCTCTGGGGCCAGGGTTCCAACTAGCACTGAAGCAGCTGCGGCCAGCTTGCAGTGCTGCATCCTATCCAGGGAGTGTTGCAGTACCAGGGAGGGCCCAACAAAAGTTCTTTTTTTTTTTTTTTCCCCAACAAAAGTTCTTTTTAAAGAGACAAGCGGATTTGTATTTCTGGAAGAGAATTTAATTACAAAGCAGGAGATAGTTATTTCACCAATTTTTGTGAAGATATTGAAAAGCCTGTTAGTGTTCAGTTCCTTAGCAATTCCTTTGGATGAACCACACCTTAAATTTGTATTTTTAAGAGTGGTTCTTTAGCTTTAAAGAAGTTGTGCACAGAGAATTTACATTACAATTTTAAGACCAGAAAAAATTTCCTTTTCTACTGTACAAAGGGCTTAGTATAATACCTTAAAGAACCTAGTTTTGAAATGCCTTAGGTTTAGTTTGATACACCTATTTACCAAGTTTTTTTAATATACTTTTATATCAAGCAGGTTTTCAGATAGAAGTTAATATATAGAATTTTATATATAGTTTTAACCATCACCAAAAACCTAGGGCCTAAGGCCAAAACAATTTTAAAGACAGCAGTTTTACTAACTTTCTT